CTGTCTGATGCTGGGAATCATGACAACTACTATGGCAGACGACTTCGGACTAGATGCGTTCTACTAAGTCCCCTGACAACAAGATAAAGTTGCGATGAGGTCAACCCACTTCTAAGGATTTTACATGTTTATCTAAGTTGTAAATAAAATTGTTAACATGAACAACAAAACGGAAAGTTGTTTGGCTTTGGTCGAGGTTACTTTTAGATTAAACACATAGACGCAAAGTAGCACATAAAGAGTGGGAAAAATGCATAACATCCAGGAATAAGCTGCCTCACCAATATTATAACTATATATCTGTAATAGCAATGAATGTCTTTATCTCGGTATGTGAGGCGATAATTATAAATGAATTACCATGGTATGGCATTCATCGCTGAAGTAAAGAGGATGCTTGATTGTCAATGAATCTAAAGCCCAGAATAGTACGCTCAAAGAGGATGGACTACGCGTTAGCCTTCGCCTAGATCCTGCTAGATACATTAGATCAATCGGACCCATTGTGCCTTGAAAATCATACTCGTACTAAGTCCATGTGAATTAGAGAATAAGGGATTCTACTCTTGATGTTGCGCATGCACCGTTGGAATACCGTCAGGAATGATGTTGTAAACAAAATAAAATAACCCAATTATACAGAAAGATAAGTTAGCCTGAAATCCCCTTTAAAGAAGAAATTCAATTTAAAAATCTATAATTCTCTATTATTCGTCATAGTTGATATCAATATCATTGCCTGTAGCCCCAATGAGAAGTGATTACTGTAAGTAGTAAACTTGATAAAATAGTATGAATACTGATAATTGTAAAAGGTCATCCTAAATAAATAGGACACCTACCGTTGACATAGTGTTGCCAATTGTTTAGCAGCAAAGTCGCGCAATGCCCAGTGATTGTCGGTTATTGGTTTGGCGCAAAGCTGTCGACAAAGCACGCAGGTGGTTACAGTGGGTACGAGTAGATGAAGATAGGGTTCAAGGCAGAGGTGAGGATTATCAATAAGAGCCTTCACAAGCCTCATCAAGTAGATCAGGATGGCCAGATTATTATTGCTGACATTTACACGGACCTGATATAAATAATAGAGTAGGAGACAAATATTGAGGTTAGTAAAATGGATCAGGAATCGGCACTTCATAATATTTGGAGGCAATGAGGTCAGTTTCACTTTTATAAAAACTCAAATAACCCTGCAATAAAATGAGGATAAGGCCTCACCTGATCAAATAATTTCGCCAAGCCTTTCTTTCGAAAAGACCTTCTTATCTGGAGTGAATAGATGGAAGCGTAGGAAAAATTCAATTGCCAATCCTTCATTGCTTAGAAAATTTACTGTTACCTTATAAACCTACTTGCTATGAATATGAGTAAAGTAGTCCATAATAATGGCAGAATACAAGTTTGCCTCAGACAATCCCCACTATAAACGATGGAGGACGTCTCGTTGATTGCATCAATCTGAATTAAGTATTAAGGCCAAACGACTGCAGTAAAACGCGATTTAGCCGACGTCTTCTGGTGAAATTGACCTAAGAAACTCTTCGTTGAGTGCTTCCATACAAAATGAAAGTCTTCATATCTACCCTCTAACCCATGGGCACTCGTGGCAATGTGGGCAGCTGTGGCGCTATCAGGGCTCGATTCCCGTTAAGATGCTGATAGATTAAATCTTAAAATTTAGCCCTGTAAGGGAAAAACTTTTTGGGATAACAGATAAGTAGCGGAAACCACGCAAAAAGCTGGACGAGAAAGAATGCACTCATACCTGTCGTTTTGCTGACTATATCGGACAATCGAGATCAATACAATGAGGAATACACACAAGAATGAATGTTAAAAACACGGCTAAGAAATTAAGAGGTACCGATGCCTAACCGATAGACTAAAGAAACGAAGCAACTAGTCTTGTTGACCACGGTTCCAATCATTATCACGTTATTTATAGATTTTACTCCAATCTCTTTCGCACATACAAAAAACTCGTTAAATTAGCCAGACCTACATCCGACATTATGTAATTTGGTTAATGGGTAAGAAGGATATTACGCTTTGCTCTAATCAACGTAAGCCCTAAATGCTAGTTTCGTACATATAAGTATAAATTAATGCACAAAAAGAGAGCGGATGTGGTCAAAACTGTCTTGTTATGTAAATAAATTAATATATAACCCTGCAATACTGACACTTGTCATAAATTTATGGATATATGTGAGCTGTGTATGCAATACTCAAGTCAATCGGCAATTTATAGCCCAAACTCTTACTGGCTCTTACGACTGCCTCTCCCTAATATAATTCAATAGCCAGAGGTAGTTCTTGTTTAGTTTCCTATAATTGATTTTCCTATCCGAGATGGAGATTGTCTCGCTGATTGCAATCAACTTCATAATCTTCATATGAGCCATCAAGCTTTC